AAGTGCATGTGCAGTAGTGAAAACAGATAGTTTGCTTGCATAGTTTCTCTGTGTCTTCTGATGTTCTCAAAGGAATTGAGCTGCCCAGCTCCATTTTTTTTTTATTGAATCAGGCACCAGAATATATTTGGACCTTGCTATACTTAATTCTTTTGAACATTGTTCTCTCAGGTCAGTTTCTCTTTTAGTACTATACTCCTCTTGCTTGGGTACAGCTTCAACCCTGAAATGCATGCATATATTTAGGTTCAGTTCAGCAAAGGTGAGGTGGATTTGACTCCACTAGAAGCAAATCACTACTTGAACAAGCTTAGTTCCACAAGCATCGTACCTGCTATACTGCAGTCAGTCATATAGGGTTACCATATTTCCAGTATCAAAAAAGGATACCTGTGGTGGGGGAGGGGTATATGATTGATTGTGGGAGGAGGGGCAGTGATATATGCTCATGCCCTGCCTCTGCCCCTCACTCCTGAGCCCCCTGCCCTTCCGGCCCTGCTGCCCATGCAGCTCCTGCATGCACACATGCACACTCGGTGCGTCTTATCTGGGAGCTTGCTGGACCTGTGCACAGAGCCAGTCCCACACTGCTAATCCCCAGGAAAGCAGAGGAAGTGCAAAAGCCTGAACACTTGCTCACGTTTTAAAAACTGGGCACGAGGGCAGGGAAGGGACATGCCTGGGGAAAGCCTTGACTTATGGTAACACTATTTCACTGTAGTTGTCATCTTTACAAATGTTTATTGGCTAGCATACTAATAAAATCCACCAAAAAAAATCTTTCAAGGAAAAAAAATGTTGATTTCTTTGGCAAGATAAGCATTTGAATCTTTGTATAGCAAACTGTTAAATTCTACACTTTTTTTTGAGTGAGGACATATTTTAATTTAAAATGTGACGTATCCTTTCTGTGTGCACAGTGAACAAATTAAACCAAAATATACATAGTTTGATCATTAAGCTTTAGCTATAATCCACATAATTGTCTTAATTGCTGTGTCCTCTCTTGCTTCTCATTTGGGAAGGGAGCACAAACAGTCTTTTTGGGAATGTCTGAGTGTCATAGTGTCGTGTCCCCCCCCCACCCCCCTG